GTCAGTGCGTGCGCGTATGTGGGAGGCAGGCGAGGGGGGACGCGATCGCCGAAGGATCCGACCGCTCGCGAGTTCGCACACGCTGCTCTGAAGGTACGTGTTACGGCTTTAGAGTGTTACGCTCTATGTGTGTCTCGTTTCGACTTACCGCGGTTACCGAACGACGCGCTATCTGAAAACGAGTTATCTGAAAAATGGGGTAAACAAAATACCAATTGCAACATGCACAAGGGGGTGTGCAACGGCGCGCGAAACGGTGCGCACCCGAACGCGCACGTATCTTCACTGGCTCCTCAGCCATGCCTCATATGCGCCTGGCACCTCGTCCGGCGCCATCAGCTTCGCCTGCGCGCGAGACGTGGGCCAGAAGTGGGCGGTGTGAGTGGCAGGAGGGCGGGGAGGACTCACTCGGGCGCGGTGCCTCGAACGGCGCTGCGAGAGGCCTCCCCGCTCCGTCCCGCCGGACCGCGAATGGCTTCCCCTGCATGTCCTGCGGCACGCCGCAGCCCTCACGCGGGCCCGTCTCCGGCTCGAAGCCGCACGCGCCCGCTGCCGGCACGCCCTCGGCCCCGTCGACGCGGCGCCAGCGGTGGAGCGGGATCTCGTTTTGAGCAACGCGCAGCTCCGAGTTGCCCGGCGCGAGCCACAGCTCCATCTCCTGCGAGGGTGCGTGCGTGCCTGGTGTGTGTGTGTGCGTGCGTGGTGTGTGTGTGTGTGTGTGTGCGTGTGCGTGTGTGACGGCCGTGTCAAGGCGCGAGGCGGAGCGGCGCCTCGTCAGGGAAGAGTCTAGGAAGTGTCTAGGAAGAGTCTAGGAAGTGTCTAGGAGTGTCTAGGAGTGTCTAGGAAGTGTCTAGGAAGGGTCTGCCTCGCCTCGTCAGCGAGGGTCCTGAAGACGGACGGCAGGTAGAGTCGCGCGTGCTCTTTGACGAGCACCTGCGGGAAGGGTCCTGGAAGGGTCCTGGAAGGGTCCTGGAAGGGTCCTGGAAGGGTCCTGGAGGAGGCGCGCGAGCTCCTTGCCGGTGCGGACAAGGTGGAGGGGCACCGCAGGCGGCGGGGCTCATGGTGTGAGGCTGCGGTGGCTGCAGAGGTTGCAGTGGCTGCAGAGGCTGCTGCAGTGGAGGCGTGAGTGCGCTCGAGGCGCTTTCCTGCGCCGCGCGGACTAAATCCCGGCTGCATCTCGGCTACACCTCGGCCATCTCTCGGCTAGCATCTCGCCTCCTGCGCCGTTAGGGCGAGCGCCGCGTCGGTCGCCTCTGCGATGACCTTTCCGAGAAAGTAGAGCGTCTCGCTGCTGGCCGCCTCGCGCGCGTACACGTCGCCCCGCACTGCGCTGGGTAGCTTCTGCAGGAGCTGGTACGAGGCGAGTTGCACCGCCGTCGCCTGGAAGAGAGAGAGAGGCGAGTCGCGGGTGAGGGAAAAAAAAGGAGAGTGCTACATTGCGAGTGGGAGCCTGCTTCTGCGCCTCGCCCTTGCCGCCGATGATGAGGCTCCTCCGACCCTCCTCTCCGCTGCCCCCACCCGCCGGCTTGAGCGGAGCCGCCCAGTCGACGAAGCTCTCGCGCTTCTGAAGCTCGACCACCAGGAAGCGCGCGTCGCCAAAGTCAGGCGCATCGTCCACGAACCAGTCCGACGCGTCCACATTTACTTCGTGCCACAGCTCGCCCACCGCCACGTCGCTGTCGGCCACGCGGAGCGTGAGCCGTCTGCGCGAGACGTCGACGGACACATCTCTTTTGAAGGAGACGCCGTCGGCGAGAGGCACCAGAATCTGCAGCCGCTGCGAGTCTTGCCGCCACCAAGCAGTCGCGTCGCAGTCGAGGACGCCGCGCGCAAACGCGTCGGCGTCCCGAAGCGGTGGCGGCAGGCTGGCGGCCGACGAGCAGAGGGTGTCCGCTCGGCAGCAGCGCGCACGCGGGGCACGGTGTGAGAGAGGGTGGAGGGAGTAAGCAGTGCTGAGGAGGAGCAGAGTGGCCATGCTGACGCTTCGAGGAGACAGTGGCAAGCACTGCCAGGCGAAGCAGGCTAGCAGAGTTTTTTCTTGTGAGTCTACAGTATCGGTAAGCGCTGGTTAGCGCGGGTTCCACACGGGTTAAGCCGCACTAACCCAGCACGGGTCAGCACGGGTTAGAACGGGTTACCATAACCCGACGCTAACCCGGCACTAACCCGGCACTAACCCGGCACTAACCCATCCTAACGTATGCCCTCGACTAACCCGGGTTAGCGCCGGGTTAGTCTCGGGTTACCATAACCATAGATGGGCCCAGGTAGGAGGCTCCACGCCACCTGAATCGCGTCGTGCCACCTGAAAGCCACAAAATGCCGGATTTTGCACGAGACACACGCGGAAAGCGCCACGTGCCTCCACGAGTCCTTTGCAGCTTTTTGCACAAAATGCAGGTGGCTTTAGCCACTTGCTCCATGAGCAAAACAGTCCAAAAAGCACCTGGAGCAGATGGCTTACGCCGCCTGTGGACATGGGCAAAACAGTGCAAAAAGCACCTGGAGCAGATGGCTTACGCCGCCTGTGGACATGGGCAAAACAGTGCAAAAAGCACCTGGAGCAGATGGCTTACGCCGCCTGTGGCCATGGGCAAACAGTGCAAAAAGCACCTGGAGTAGATTCCAAACGCCGCCTGTGGCCATGTGACCGCTCGGGTGGCGCCAGGTGGCTTCGCCCCCCTCCAAGCCACCTGCCCCCCTCGCCACACCTGCCTGGAGGGCTGGAGCACGTGCGCCACCTGGGCCCGGGCAGGTGGCTCCAGGTGGCTTCGGCCCCTCTAAGCCACCTGCATGCCCCCCCTCGCCACACCTGGAGGGCTGGAGCACGTGCGCCACCTGGGCGTCACTTCGGGAATTTCATCGTGCGTGTTCTTTTGAATAGGAATGTACTATACACCGCCTCGGCACCACGAGCCGCCCCCGCCGCGCCTCCACAATCCACTCTCGCAACTCTACCGCGCAGCCAGCACACGACGTCGACGAGGCCGACAAAGCTCTGCATGGCCTGGTTTATCGGGGATCGAGTGATGGCGTATTATCGGGCAGTCTTCTCATTGGCGAGTCAGACTGCTCAGCGTCGGCAGCAACGGCGCGTGAGCAGCGCAGCCACCGGCTCCTGCGGCGTTTGCAGCCACACCAAACGCCCGCGCGGGCCGGGTTGAAGCCCCAGGCTTATGTCGACGCCGGACATTGATTGTAGCCGCCGATGACCGCCGCAGGCCCTCTTTCACACACCCCACAGTCCCAGTTTGCAGCGCGGGGAGGAGCGGGGAGGCTCGCGTTTGGCAGGCCAGCCCTTCCGTGGCTCGGATTTTCCGTTTCCGAATTCAAACTTGCGCCAGGTGGCGCACGTGCTCCGGCCCTCCAGGTGTGGCGAGGGGGGGCATGCAGGTGGCTTGGAGGGGCCGAAGCCACCTGGCGCCACCTGCCCACCCATCAGGCCCAGGTGGCGCACGTGCTCCAGCCCTCCACGTGTGGCGAGGGGGGCGGGGCAGGTGGCTTGGAGGGGCCGAAGCCACCTGGAGCCACCTGCCCAGGCCCAGGTGGCGCACGTGCTCCAGCCCTCCTCGTGTGGCGAGGGAGGGGGGGCAGGTGGCTTGGAGGGGGCTGAAGCCACCTGTTGCCACCTGCCCAGGCCCAGGTGGCGCACGTGCTCCAGCCCTCCACGTGTGGCGAGGGGGGCGGGGCAGGTGGCTTGGAGGGGGCCGAAGCCCTTGGCGCCACCCGAGCGCATCACATGGCCACAGGCGGCGTTTGGAATCTACTCCAGGTGCTTTTTGCACTGTTTTGCCCATGGCCACAGGCGGCGTAAGCCGTCTGCTCCAGGTGCTTTTTGCACTGTTTTGCCCATGTCCACAGGCGGCGTAAGCCATCTGCTCCAGGTGCTTTTTGCACTGTTTTGCCCATGTCCACAGGCGGCGTAAGCCATCTGCTCCAGGTGCTTTTTGCACTGTTTTGCTCATGGAGCAAGTGGCTAAAGCCACCTGCATTTTTGTGCAAAAGGCTCTAAAATGGCCGAAATCCCTGTTGGCGCACGTGGCGATTGCCACGTGTGCCTCGGCTAAGAGGCCTCTCCAGGCGAGAGTCAGGTGGCACGACGCGAGTCAGGTGGCGTGGAGCCTCCTACCTGGGCCCATCTCTCACCATAACCCATGCTGACGTATGCCCCCCAGCCGCATGGGTTAGTGCCGGGTTAGTGCTGGGTTAGTGCCGTGTTATGGTAACCCATTCTGACCCGTGCTGACCCGTGCCGGGTTAGTGAGCACTAACCCGCGCTAACCCGCGCTTACCGATAGACTCACTTTCTTTACACACCTCGTCAGGGCTTGATTGACTGTCATGTCTGCCTGCTCTTCCGCGACGGAGATCACCCTTCTTGTGCCCAGCATCCACATGCCGATGTCGCGCCCGCGCCGCGCCCCGCCCGCGCCCGCCCGCGCGCGCCCGCGCCTCGGTCGGGCACTTGCCTGCGCCTGCGCGTAGGTTGCCCGCGCACGCCCGCGCGCGCGCGCCCGCGCGCACGCCGCACGCTGTGCGGCACTGCGAACTGCGTGGCACTGTGTGGCGCTTCGCCGGTCTGAGCAGGGTACCTGGGCGTTTTGAAATTCCGTGCAAGGGGGTGCCGAGGTATGCCGCGCAGGCCGGGATGGAGTGAGATCTTGTGGGGCAGGGCGTGGGCTAGCGCGCGAGGGCGCAGGCAAGTGCCCGAGGGTATGGGGGTGGGCGCCACCCTGGGGCTACCCGTAGCATCGTCGGCTCAGTGATGGGTATCCGAAGACGGAGCCAATCCGTCGAACAAGTTGACCAACCCGCTGCCTCTAAAACTAAATATATGCTAACCCAGTGCTAACCACGCTCGCTGCTCTCGAGCTCGGCGACTACTCTAACAGTGGCTAAACTGGCGTTGGCCACGAGGCGATCGCGACCGCGAGAACCTCACACGCCGATAACGATCCGGCGATCACAACTTGCCTCGCCATACTCGCGGTACGCACAAACTAATCAACTGCTCCAAATCCCACCCTAACCTCGGCCTCGGCGCGCACAAGCGGCTCACCCAAGCTGCCGACCGGGGTGAGCCGGCGATGCATGTTGGAGCCCACAAGAGTGCCGAGCGCGAAGGCCAGCGCGACGAGCACCGTCAGCGCCGGCAAGCCTGATGCGGCTGCCGCTGCTGCGGGCCTGCCAGGCGATCTCTGCACCGGCGACACCGCCAAATTGGTGGTGGGCGCGGCACGTTTGGGCCACTCGGCTCGGTAGCTGTCGCGCGGGCGCGCCTCCTCCTTCGTGCGCTGGGGCAATCCCTCTCGCGGCGGCATGGCCTCCGCCTCCTGGGTGTAGAAGCCGACTCGCTCGAGCCACCAGCTCGGGTACCACAGCTTGGTCAGCTGCAGCTTTGGCGCGTGGGGCTCGATCAGGTAGCCGTCGTGCAGCCGCGTCATCAGCGCAGCGATCAGGTCGTGGTGGCGCTGCGCGCTGAGCGCTGCAGCGGCGCTGTCGGCCTCCGCGAGAAGCCTGGCCGCCTCCACCTCGCTGCCGGCTGCCGCCGCCGCCTCCTCCGCCCGGTCGGCCGCAGCCCTCGTCGCAGCCTCCACTTCCCTCTGCGCGGCCTCGATCAAGCCCCAGGCGAAGTCGTAGCCGACGGCGCGCGCCCAGTTGTTCAGCAGCGTCGTCCGCCAAAAGACGGAGGTGCTCGCGGGCGCGCCGTCGAGCGCATCGGCTCTGTGGAGCGACCCGCTCGTCAGGCTCGCAGGCATGTCGGCGACGCTCCCCCCCGCGTCGGCGGCGGCGGGCTGCACGTGGACGGGCGTGTAGACGGCGGCATGCGGGGCGCCCTGCGAGAGCCACACTCGCGCGCCGGCGAGCCGCCCGCCGCGGCGGCCCAGCTCGATGAGGTGCGAGTAGGAGGTCCGGAAGATGGAGATTGCGCGCGGGAAGGGGCCGCCACCACCCCCGCCGGGCGTGCCGTACTGCGGATCGTCGTACCGCGAGGGGTCGCCGTGCGGTCCAGAAGCCAGGCCGCGGGTGACGTCGAGCCCCGGCGCGGCGACGTCTCTGTAGACGTCGCGCGCGAGGGCGAGGATGTCGGCGGCCGTCAGCGGGCGGGAGGGCTCGTGCGACCAAGCGTACTCGTTGGCGAGGGGAGTCGCCGCCGGCCAGCGCCACTCTCCCTGCGGAGCGAGCACGGAGAGGACGCGCCAGATGCGGCCGTTTGTGTACGAGGCGTAGTCGGGCCGGACGAAGAAGCCAAAAGTCCTCGCCCAATCGGTGACGCGCAGCCCGCCGCCCTCGAGCTTGCGCGCGCCCGCGGGCAGGCTCTCGAAGGGCATCGGGTTGAGGGAGTGCCTCTCGATGTGCTCGGCGAGGGCGAAGAGGTTGGACGAGTGGCGGACCTCCTCCCCGCGGCAAGCGAGCGTGCTCCGCGTGCTCTCGTCCGGAGTCACCTCGACCACGTCGCGGATCGTGAAGCGGTTCGCAACCATCGCAAAGTGGCCGTCAGGCACACGCTTGGCCACCCACACGGCAGAGTAGCCGCCGTCCGCGCCTACGAGACATGCCCTTGGACGTGTCATGGACATGTCATCCGCCGCCACGCGGCAGAGTAGCCGCCGTCCGCGCCCTCGACCCCCGCGCCCGCGGCAACGTCGGGAGGTAGAGTCGACACCTCGAGCATCCAACCCTCCTCGGGGTCGGCCACCATAACGTTCTCGCCTCCGAACGGCTTTGCCGCGTCGGAGCCGTCCTCGCCGTAGAAGCCGTCCCGCACCGCCAGGTGGCCCATCAGGTCGACGGCGCAGCGAGCGGTGGCGCAGAGCGCTAGCGCCACCTGCGTGAGAGCGCCCATGTCCCAGAGCGCGCCGTCGCGCCGCGTCGCGTGCGGCCGGCCCGGCGTCGCGGGCGGGCGGGCGGGCGACCACATGAATGGAGGCACCTCGCAGGTGCTCTCGACGATGGCCACCTGCTTTTCATTGACGATGGCATACGCGCCCTCGAGGGCACCAAAGGTTCGCGTTGTGTCTGGGTCAACGCCAAGCAGCACCGCTATTGACGGGTCGAGCACGAGCTTTCCGATCGTCTGGTTGGCAGCCCACTCGGCCGATCGCCAGCGGTCGAGGAGGTCGGCGGGCAGAGTCGCGTCGAGGCTGTCTGGCGAATATGTGGGAGAGCGATCAGACACCTCGCGAGGGTACTGCGGCCGCTTGCGCAGCACTGGCCAAGGCTTCCTCACGTCCCGCGGGTGCGTGCGGCCGAGCCGAAAGTCGAGGTCGCCGCCGTCGTCGGTGTGCAAGAGCAGGGTGGAGCCGTCGGCGGTGGCGCCGCGGCCTGCAAGAATGGTGGTGCACGCGCGAGCAGGCGGCGCCGCGAGGAGGAGAAGACACAGGAGCCGACGCCGCATGAGTGGCGCCGCCTCAGAGCGGGACCTGGCTGTGCCCCTCAGAGTGGCAGGAGTGCCTGCGGCGGGAGGAGGGGTACAGCATCGATTTCTTCTGTTTGAGTTTTGTTTTAGGTTTGTTGTTGGCAAATCTTTTCCCTCTTACGAACATTCAGTGCTAGCTTTTACGAACATCGCAGTGAGGAATTTCTTCCTTTTTATGAAAGCAGAAGAATTCGGCGCAGCAGGGGTGCGCGCTGTGCCTCGGGTTCGTGCGTCGCCCATCTCTCCGGGAGACCTCTGCCCAGACCTCCGGGAGGGGGCGGGTCGACGGCCTACGTGGTCAACACGCCAGCCTTGACGCACATATGTCATCGACGACGTCCTTCAGCCCCGCGGCCTGCGCCGACCGCCTCGCCCGAGCCTGGCTCACCGGCGAGACCATCACTGAGCGAGGCGACCACTTCACGCCGCCCGACGTCGCCTCTGTGTACGCGGTGCACGAGGCGCTGCGGGAGCACCCGTCGATCGGCTCTGTGGGCGGCGTCGTGGGCTACAAGATGGGCGGCACCGGCGTGGCGGCGCTTCCGAGCGGCGAGCCGGTGCCTGCGCTCCCGGGTTTGCTGCTCGGGCCGCCGCCCGGTGTCGCCAGCCCCGAGTTTGGCGTCGTGGCGGAGGGCGTGTCGCTGCCGCGGGCGCGCTGCAACTACAGCAACGTCGAGGCGGAGGTTGGCTTTGTCATGAGGTCGACTCCTGTGCCCGCCTCGACCTGCTTCCCGCTCTCAGAGGCGGACGTGTGGGCGGCCGTCGGCGAGGTGTTCCTCGCCATCGAGGCTTGCGGCTCGCGGTACGCGCTCGAGAAGCCGACGGCGCTGGAAAAGTCGGCCGACGCACAGAGCGCCGGGGCAGTGGTGCGCGGGCGAGGCTGGCGGGTGGGCTGCGCCGGCTGTCCCTCTGCAAAAGCGCTCGCGGCGGTAGAGACGACGATCTCGATCAATGGGACGCAGGTTGCCTCTGGCGCCGCCTCCCTCGTCCCGCTCGGCTCCCCCCTCGCCAGCCTCACCTGGCTCGCCAACCACCTCCCGTCGCGCGGCGAGCGGCTGAGGCCGGGGCAGACCGTCATCACGGGCGCCTGCTCCAAGACCAAGGCCTTCGCCGTGGGCGACGACATCGTGGCCTGCTTTGGCGAGCTCGGAAACGTCCGGCTCACCTTTCGGTGACAGCATCTGCCGCACAGCGCACTGCTTTTGTGTTTGATGACTTCGCAGAGACCCCACCGAGTACAGAGAAAGATTTTGACGTCGGAAAGAGGCAGAAAGGCCAATGCTGTGCATGTTGTGTAGAGCAGGGACGAAGCCCACTCACTCTAGGTAGGTAGGTAGTAAGGTGAAGAACAGCCAGGCTCGGACTGGACACCAACGCGGTATGGGTGGACGCTGGACAGATGATGACGACACGCACGAGCGACACACAGACACAAACAAGCTCACAAGACACACAGCCAGCTGGCTGCCACACACCCTGAGTCGGCAAACACATAACTCAAGGCCACATCCTCCCTGTCGCCCCCCCCAGCACTCCACTCTCTTTTCTTACAGGTCAGCCGAATTTAAGATTTGAAGGCGGGGAGTCCGTCAGCCTTAAAATCTTGAAAATGTGTGAACGGACAGCTAAAATCTTAAAATGCACCCCAGAGCTCTAAAATCTTGGTCTAAAATCTGAAAATCGCCGGCCTGCGGCCGGCCTCTAAAATCTTAAATTCGGCGGACTTGTAAGGGAGAATGAAAAAGAAAAACGCCGCCTGCCTCCGTCGCCTCCACACGCTGCAGCGCCTGTGCAACGACGGGGAACTATTTTCTGCGTGGCAAAATTCTCTCTTTCGCGCGGGGTGCATCGCGACACCCGAGAAGAAAGGTGAAAGTCCCTTCCCAAGTGTGCATCATCTCCCGGGCGCGGGCGCCGGTGAGCGGTGTGTAAAAAGGAATTAAGGTATCTCTCCTCCCCGCTCCTCTCGATCATGCACCGGAAGAACAGCCAGTCTCGGCCACCGTGCGCGGCATGCGGCGAGGTGAAGCCTCCGGACAGCTTCTCAAAGTCGCAGATGCGCAAGGCCGCGCACGAGAGGAAGTGCAAGGACTGCGTCGTGACGGGTGTCGCTGCGCTTGAGGCGAGTCAGGCGGAGCTGAGCGCCGCAGTTCAGGGCTACTCGAGCTCAGAACAGATGGTGGCGCCGTCGCAGAATGCAGTGTCGCGCGAAGAGCTGCTGGGATTGAGTGGCGCGGCGGCACCACCGGAAGAAGAACCGGAAGGCTTTGGGTTCCGCATCACTGTCTTAGCGCGCGCGCCCCGCATGTATTAATAGGTTGACGGGCGCATGGAGACGTGATGCCTCCATGCGCCCGTCGAGTCAAAATCGACATGCGAGGCGATCTTTGGCCCGCCAGAGGGATAGGCGGCGTTTCTGGCGACAACAGCGCTGCGACCGCGAAGTGGCGGTGGACATGCTCCCATGTTGCGGACGCGGCGCCGGAGTGGCCGGCGCTGCTCGCCGCGACCACGACGGCTACTCTGATGCTCCGGGCCGACCCGTCCTACCCGACGGTGGCACTCTTCCACGTCTCGCTCACGCTGAGAAAAATTCTGAAACGGCGTGCAGCAGAGTCACCGACGAGTCGGTCCGCGTGCCTCCTCGCGTCCCGTACCGTTCTCACACATCCATAAACTCACTTTAGCCCCACTGAAGCTAATCAATCCTGAATCCTCAGATTTTAGATTAGGACGCTGTCCACCCCCTAGCGCAGCAGAGGGCCTGTCGCAGAGGGCGTGGCAGGGGGGCAGTGGGCGCCGAATCAGTCAGTCAGTCTTACACACCTCCAAGCATGGAGGACGGGCCCACACGCACACACACGCTGCACACGATTGGCTCGGAGCCGACACGAGGCACACTGGGTCACCGGCCGTATCACTGGTCCGGAGCGCTGAGGGCGCCGAGTTTGGCCGTAAAATTCTTTTTGCTGTGTTAGTGCCAGTGCGCGCCAGTCCCGTGCTGCCTCTAGGATTCCTAGTGTCGTGCGAGGGAGTTTGGTTGTAAAATCCTTTTTCCTACTATCTCGCTCGGTGATCGCTCGCCAGGTAGCAGAAGCAGTAATCGCTGGAATGAGGAGTGAGCTGTGAGCTGTGTGAGCTCACAGAGGCGGTACGCCCCCACGCAAGGCGCATTTATGTTTCTATGAAATGACGATTTGCTATTAATACAGTGGCCAGGGGCGGGGCTTGCATTTTTGCCGTCGCCAGTCGCCCCCAAACGCTACAGCGGGGGCGGCGGCGGGCGGCGGGGGCGGCGGCGGCGGCGCGACGGGGTGGGTGGGGTGTGGGGAGGTGCTGCTGTGTGCGCTGCGCGTGCGCGCGCACCGCACACCATACTCGAGTACGGCGGGAAACAGACGGCGAGGGGGGCGCGGCGGCAGCGGCGCAACGCGCGCGCGGCGCGCGCGACGGAAGGGGCCGGAGCAGCGACCGCGCGCGCGGTCGCTGCTTCCTTCTGTCCCCGGAGCGCCGGTCTGCGCGGGGTGCGCCGTCAGG